GCATGTAGATGACGTGGCAAGATCACACATTTTTCTCTTTGAACATCCAAATGCAAATGGGCGATATGTTTGCTCTTCCCACTTAATCACAATCGAAGAATTGGCTAATCTCTTTTCTGCCAAGTACCCAGAATTTCAGATACCATCGCCTGAGTGAGTTCCACTGCATATTAGTTTCCCATTATCATTACAGAATCTTCTCTCTTAGTAATATTGCAAAGTTAGCCTTCGATAATCATTTCATTTTTTATTTTTGGTTTTTTGAAAATTAGGTTTAAAAACATTACTTCTACTTATTGATTTTGTTATTTTATTGTCCTCTTTTTAGACATGTTTTCAAAATCCAATCCAAGTATTGAAAACTAAAAAATAGTTCTAAAAAACTTGATTTTTTTTTTTTTTGTTTGTTTGGAATTTGGCTATCAAATGGGGTCTTAACAAGGTTAATGATCGTGGTGTTTATTTATAATTTTTTTTTTTGAATTTGTGATTCTATGTAGCCCTTCTGTATATGCTTATTGGATAAATATTGATTGGTTTGGCCCAATTTGATTGGTAGATGATAGAAGAAAGGTGATACTCAGTCAAAATGAAGTTTGGCATACAATATGCCCCTATTTTGAAACAACAAATCAAATCTCTTTTATAGACCTTTTTGTTCAACTGTTCACTTCTTTTTTATCATTTATTTATCAAATCATGCAAGATTTTTCCATTAAGCATATTACATCGTCATCATTATCAATTTCACAACAGGGACTTTAAAGGTTCGAAGTAAGACAAAGTTGTTTATTTGAAGTTTGGGGATTAAATAAATACAACTGATTCGACTGCAGGTCTTTGAAAGATGTCAAAGGCTACATATTCAGTGATGTCTCTTCAAAGAAGCTTTTGGATGCTGGTTTTCAATACAAATATGGTATTGAAGAAATGTTTGATGGAGCAATCCAAAGCTGCAAAGAGAAGGGTTATCTCCATGAAACAAATTAGTAGTAAGCATGGAACGGTATTAATAAAAGCTCCTCATGATTGCAAAAAGAGGCCAATAATTTGATGTGGTTAGTTCTTCTAGGCTTTAGCCCATATAAAATATGTATGTTACAATTGTCTTTCTCAAGGAAGTGGTATCTATTTCTGTTTACCAGTCTGTTATCTTCTGAATATATATATATATATATATTTGAATGCTGGCTTCTGTTAGCATTACAGCTCTTCAGAGGTTACCACTCTTTTAAGGGCATGTCTTGGTTCTGTGTGTTTATGGGATTGGATTAATTAGTAGACTTCTTAGACCCAAGTTGGTCATTGATGTCTATTTTAGTAATGGCATTTAGATGCATGAGTTTTCAAACTCAATAATTTCACCTTTAAAATTTACATTTTGAAGTATTTTTGGTCCATTCTTTTGCGAAGGGAAATCGCCTTCTTTTGGGTATGAACCGAGGGGGGCTTTCTCTATCAATTCACAGTGATCCTTTTTCGTTCATATTTAAAACGCGTTACATATTTATTATGACAATGGGGAAAAAAGGAAGAGAGAAAAAAAAAAAGAAGGGATAAGGAAGTGAAAAAAGAACATGTTAGGAATCACGGCTCTCCACAATGATATGATATTGTCCACTTTGAGCATAAGCTTTCATCGCTTTGCTTTTGGTTTCCCCATAAGGTCTCATATCAATGGAGATGTATTCCTTACTTATAAACCCACAATCAACTTCTTAATTAGCCAATGTGAGACTCCTCTCCTAAAAATCCTCAAGAATAAAATTTGGTTGCTGATTTCGTTGTCGATGGTAGACGATATTGGCGATGACGACTGCGGAAGAAGATATTGAATGAGGCATTAAAGTATCTGAGTTCCTGATATTGTTACGGGAATGCTAGTCCTTGGTCAATTCATTCTTATGCATATGGTTGAATTTTTCTCAGGACTATTGTACGAAATGGTAGGAGCAGCCAATTCGGAGGATTCAAAACCTTGGAAGGTGTGTTCTTTGAAATTGTATTATTCCTCATTCTATTTGTGAAATGAAACTTTTATTGCACTAGAGCGTAAAGCAACTAGATTTTTATGAAATATATTCATAAATTATTTGGAATGTGGTACGTGCCATTCTAAATTCTGTTCCAATATTTTTCATTATTTGAAATCGTTGTTCTATATACAACATAAACTCTGTATCTGCTGCCTTTTTCAATATTTTCAATTACCAGTTTGTCTTTGTTTATGATGGCTCATTGACTTCAATCATATCTATCTAGATCTTAATCTTAGTTATAACTATATTGTTACTGATTTAGTTAGATATATTTTTTGTATGGTTTATATTATCTCCTAATATGTATGGTTTTTTTTTTTTTATTATAAACGGTATGAAAGAAATGATTTACACTTCCACATGGTCCCTTCTATTTTAAGAGGTGTGATTAATAGGCGTAGCATCTTCCACCGTGACCAAATTTATTCTGAGGGCTACCAATCTACCACCTTGATGAAATTGCCTTTATAGTTATCGATTTTCCACTTGACCAAATTTATTCAGCCTTTATTGTTACCAATCTTCCACCTTGACCAAATTTATTTGGAGTCATCACAGCTACTGTTGATATCATAACTTGACGTGCGATCAATATTGCACATAATCCTATCCAGTCAAGCTGGGAATGGATGACATCTTTTCCGCATCTTGTTATTATGGATTAACATCTATTCATACGGGAATGAATGACTTTAATTATTTTAATTATATTTATGCCTCAATTATGTCATTCACAGCTTGTGGGGGGAATGTTGAATGAATGACTTTAATTATATCTATACCTTAATTATAATTATAATTTTACTTAGTGCCTAGTGATTTAGTTAATACCTATATCTTTTTAGGTTGGTAAAAGTGATGTAAATTCATCTTTTACTGCGGTTATGGAAGACCTTTTCAAGAAGGCAAGTATTGCCATGAATGGATGCTATTTATTTTATCCAGCCACCCATCCAAAGAGAAGTAAGATTTTTGTTTTAGGTGAAACAACTCATGTTCTTTAGGGTGGTAGACATTCTCTAAAAACCACTTATTGTGACTCATCCATGCATGCATGCAACTGCGATTCTACCACGAACCCACAGATGTTGGCGTCTCAGCAGTGAGCTGGTAGATCACAAACCCGGAAAAAAAAACAAATTTTTTTTTTCAGATTTCTTAGATCTGGAAAATCTGGAACGAAAACATTCCAAATCAGTGTTGGCTGGCTAGACAGATCAGAGCCCAAGAATGTTTCAAATTAGTGCCAGAGATATGTCAACACGAGCTAGACAGAGGGCTGAGAAAACATGTATAGAGGAAGAAGAGGAAAAATGTAATAATAAATATGATTTATTTAGCCCAATATATCCAAAGTTTACAAAATAGCCAAAGGTATTAATGGTATGAGCCAAAAGCAAGATTGTTCCAAACTCGAAAATGTTCGAGTTTGAAAATTGAGAGACTTATTTTAAACTGTGTGAAATTTTACCGTTTTTTCTACATTTTTAATGTTTTGTTTTGTTTTAATTCTGTTTTATTTGTGTCTGATTTCGACTTTTCGTTGCGATCCAATTTCTCGTAACCTTGAAAATTGGGTTGTGATATTTTCATCTTGATATCCCAATTAATCTAGATGACAAAGAAGCTGGGAAAGTGTTGACGAGAAGAACAATTGAAGGAACATTGGGCATCCTTAAAGTTTGTCTAGATTAAAAAACGGTAAGACGAGTTGTATACGCTCGTAGACTTGCATCGTATCCCTTGACATTGATTACATGAAGGGTGTTGTACCATTGGGAAGATTATACCTGATTTCCAAGACATTAACTCAGCAAGCAGCTATTGAGTTCTCTCAGCAATATGGATTGGAAGTTGTCGCTGTCCTTCCATCTTATTTTGTCGGTCCCTTCATTTGTCCTAAGCTTCCTGACTCTGTTCTTATGACAATGCCTCTGATGTTATATATTTCTTTTCATGTTTAAAGTATCTTATGCTTGTAGACTTGGAATTCTTTGTTGAAGAGTTGGCAGATACCTAACTTTTCCTGAAACTTTTGGCTAGAGAAATAGTTCACTTCATCTTTTTTAAATTATAAGTTGTTTTCGAACTTCTTTTGAGGATCGTATCCTTTTTAAATCCTCAAACTTGTTACAAATTTCAATTACATAACGTTTGAATTATGTCTCAGAACATTAGATTATGTTAATGTTTCGTGAAAGTCTTTAATACCAATGCCCATTTGGTTGTTTGATGTTTGAATATTCATTCACTTACTAAATCTTAAACATGGGAGCATCATATTGTGTTTGTGAGTTGGTTATTTATTTGAAATGGAGAGATTGAACAAACACAACTGGTTTGGTTTGACTATAGGTCTTCGAAAGATATTAAAAGCTACATATTCAGTAACGTCGCATCCACGAAGCTTTTGGGTGCTAGTTTTCCATACAAGTATTGTATTGAAGAAATGTTTGATGGAGCAATCGAAAGCTACAAAGAGAAAGGGTACCTGTATGAACGAAGGAGTAGTAAACATAGAAACATAATTAATAAAATCTCATAATTGATTTCTTAGCTAATTGATGTTAGAGATACCGTTTCAAGACGTTGTATGTGAGATTTCAAATCGGGTGGAGAGCGGAATGAAGTATTCCTTATAAGAGTGTGGAAACCTCTTCCTAATATACGCGTTTTAAAATCATGAGGCTGACAGCGATACGTAACGGGTCATTCCGAACAATATCTACTACCGGTGACTCTGTTACATTGTCTAATCTTTTGAAAGTAATAAATCTTTTAAGATGGGGATAGGGAGTTCTTTTGTCTTCGAGTTGGATTTCCTTTTACATCTTCTCCAAAAAAATTTCATTAACTATTGTAAATTTCTGTAATAAAACCAATTATTTTAGTTGTATTATCACTCGCTTGAATCCTTCTATATAGCTTTAATATCCATTTGGAAAAATGAGAAAACGATGGGAGAAAGAGAAAATGGAGTTGAGCAGAGAAAAAACATAGCCTCCACATGATATCTGATAAATGAAAACCTTCCCATCTTGTGGGACATCATTTTTAAGATTGCATGTCCATTAGTCAGCTAGAAACCTTATCACAAATGTACGAGGTACACTAAAAAAGCCATAAATCTTAAACATTATCTCTTAGTTCTTCAAACTGTGTAGAGAGATGGAAGTTTGAGTAATAGAAGGCACTAGATTTACAGGTCGTGTCTTGTCAATCGACTTCTGGAAGGTAACCCAACTCAGGTATGTCTAAGATCACAGTCAAGAAGGAAGGACTCTTTAGTTTATCGTAATTCAAAAAGTACATCAAAAAAATTTAGAATGGAAAGATTTTTGGAGTCTGATCATATTTTGGATGTTTTCTCTTTTCCGGTGGTTGGAGAATTATTTGAATATTTTTTTATTTTAAGATTAGAATCTCAAAAAAGAAAATTTAGCATCGATTTTAACAAAATCACTTATTATCTTATTGATTAATTATAATCGTCAAAATTTTAAGTATAGTTTCTTCGCAATGAAATTCGATTCCCTAATTCTAAGTCGGATTCAAACTATAAATTAAAAGGAATTATAAAGAGTTTAATAACATGTCTAATAATTTTAGCAGTGTTCGTATGTTTTTTTAATGAGTATTTATAAAAGAAAAATCAATTAATTATGAGTACATATACATTGGGAAGATTCGAATCTTAATCTCTGGCAGAATATTTTAATGTTTCTCTTAGCTAATTGAAGTGGGTTTAATTTTTTTTTTTTTTTCAATGTAAACAATTGCGTGGGATTGCACCATGTTCTACGGAGGGCAGAGATCGAGAAATGGAAAATTTGGAGAAGGGGAAAGTGTGTGTAACCGGAGGCACTGGATTTCTAGCTTCATGGCTCATCAAGAGGCTTCTCGAGGATGGCTACTCTGTAACTACCACCGTCAGAGCCGACCCAGGTAAAAACACCCCTTCTTCTCTCCATTTTTGGTCTCTGTTTTGCTTTCTTGGCTTTGCATGGCTGACTTCAGCTTCTTGGATTGTAAAGGATATATTCATTTGTTAAGAATGAGTGTTTTGAATCTTTCTTCCAATTCTGTACTTGAGTCATTTGAATGTTACATGAATTCTTTACTTGATTTTGCTTTTTTGACTTATTTTGAGGTTTGCATGCTTGGTGTTTGATGAAATTACTATGAGAGTTCATCACCTGATTGCTATTTAAGCACACTGTCTTTGGCTCTTTGATTACTATTCCAAAACAAACTCAAACATTAAACTAGTTGGTTATAATATATTTAATTTATGTGAGATCTCGCGTTGGTTGAAGAGGGGAACGAAGCATACTTTAATAAGAGTGTGGAAACCTCTCCTTAGTAGACGTGTTCTAAAACAATGAGGCCAACGGTGATACAGGCCAAAGAGGACAATATCTGCTAGTAGTGGGCGTGAGCTGTTACAAATGATATTACAGCTAGACACCAGGTGGTGTGTAAACGAGGACGCTGGGCCCCAAGGGGAGTGGATTGCGAGATCTCCCATTGGTTGGAGAGGGGAACGAAGCATCCTTTATAAAGGTGTGCAAACCTCTCCCTTGTAGATGTGTTTTAAATCGTGAGGCTGATGGCGATATGGGTCAAAGAGGACAATATCTGCTGGTAGTAGGCATGGGCTGTTACAAATGGTATTGGAGCCAGACACTGGGCGGCGTGCCAGCGAGGACACTAGGTCTTGAGGGGTGTGGATTGTGAGATCTCACATTGGTTAGAGAGGGGAACGAAGCATCCATTTATAAGGATGTGAAAACCTCTCCCTAGTAGACGTGTTTTTAAACCGTGAGGCCGACAGCGATAGGAGCCAAAGCGGACAATATCTACTAACGGTGGGATTATACTGTTACAAATGGTATTATTAGAGCTAGACACCGAGCGTTGTACTAGCAAGGACGCTGGGCCCCAAGGGAAGTGGATTGTGAGAACTCATATTGGTTGGAGAGGGGAACGAAGCATCTCTTTATAAGGATGTGGAAACCTCTCCTTAGTGCATTTTAAAACCGTGAGGCTGACAGCCATACGGGCCAAAGCGGAAAAAATCTGTTAGCCCAAGCCCACCGCTAGTCATTTAACACCATATTAAACTGCCACAAAGTTCAGTTGGATTGGCTACTATATTATACCCTCCTTGCCATAGAACACTCGGTGTTAATAATTTTGTTTCTACTTTGTGCTTCTTAAAGATTGGGCAAATTTACTTTTAAGATTTTGGTATTCATTAAGGATTGTAAGAAGTAGATCCAACTGCATATGAAATTTTCATTGAATAAGTATGAATTTATGAAGGAAGTCACCGAAAACAAAATCGTTGTACAATATATTGTAAGAGGTATAAGCCTATGCAATACTTGTCTAACGTGTCTACATTTTAATTTCTGAATAGATCAATTGTCTATCTCGACTTTCCTCATCTAAATTTGTTTACATTTTAATAATGCACAGAGAAGAACAAGGACTATGGCTTCTTGACAAGTCTACCCAATGCATCGGAAAAACTCCAAATATACCATGCCGATCTCAACGACCCGAACAGTTTTGCTCCTGCCATAGCAGGTTGCATTGGAGTTTTTCATCTTGCTACCCCAATCGATGAGAAGGACGAAGAAGATGTGGAAGTTTTGACGAGAAGAGCGATCGAAGGAACATTGGGCATCCTTAAAATTTGTCTAGATTCAAAAACGGTAAGGCGAGTTGTACAAACTTCCAGTGTAGTCTCCATGGATTTTAATCACCACACAGTAGACTTCTTGGATGAAAGTTGTTGGAGTGACATTGATTACATCAATAGCGCCTCACCATTCGGAAGATCATACCCGACTTCCAAGACATTAACCGAGAAAGCAGTTCTCGAGTTCTCTCAGCAGAGCGGATTGGATGTTGTTAGTATCCTTCCAAGTTATGTTGTTGGTCCCTTCATTTGTCCTAGACTTCCCGGCTCTGTTCGTGTGACAATGGCCCTTGTGTTAGGTAAGTATCTTATGCTCTTTGAATGCATCCTTCGCTCTGCACGAAAGACTTGGAAATCTTCATTGAAGAATAGGCAGATAATTAAGTTTTATTGAATCTTTTTGCTAGAGATCTTTATAAAATTATAAATTGTTTTTGAACATAGCGATAACGATATCATGGAATTATTCACTGATTTAGAGTCGTTATGGACTCACTTTCGTAGTGTTCTAAACACTTGTTCAAAGCTTTTTTAAACACTTATAAAATCAATCCAAATAGGCCGTTAAGCTAGGAAGTTGCATGATGTTACTTTATTCCCTTGCTGAATTTCAAACTTGAGTAGCATCAATGATATTAAACATGAAATTTGTGCAGGTAATAAAGCGGAGTATGGATTGGTCTTAAAATCAAACATGGTGCATGTAGATGATGTAGCAAGAGCACACATTTTTCTCTTTGAACATCCAAATGCAAATGGGCGATACCTTTGCTCTTCCCACTTAATCACAATCGAAGAATTGGCTAACTTATTGTCTGCCAAGTACCCAGAATTACAGATACCCTCTGCCGAGTGAGTTCCACTGCATATTAGTTTCTCGGCTTCCTTTGATAAGCATTTGCTTTTTAAAACTTAGGCTCATAAACACTCTTTATTTATTTATCGTTTGGCTCATAACATCATTTGAATTTTATCATTTATTTATCGAATCATGCAAGATTTTTTGAATTAGATGTATCATATCACCGTCATTTTATCAAGTTTACGAAGACTTGGTTATTTATTTGAAACACAACTACAACTCCAACTGGTTTTGACCGTAGGTCTTTGAAGGATATCAAAGGGTTCAAATTCAATCCTGTCTCATCAAAGAAGCTTTTGGATGCTGGTTTTGAATACAAGTATGGTATTGAAGAAATGTTTGACGGAGCAATCCAAAGCTGCAAAGAGAAGGGTTATCTCTAGCTCATCCTTTTCTATTAATATTTCTGTTTAGAATTGTCTGTTATCTTCTGTGCATGTATGTGTGTATATGTATTCATTTGAATGATGGCTTTTGCTAGCATACGATTGTTAGAACTATATCTCTTAACTGGGAACTTATTCAAATAGGAGCAAGAGACAATATGGGTAAGTGATGTCGATGAAGATTTTAAATTTTGATGAATTTGATCCATATTTATAGCAAAAACACGTCCAAAAAAAATATATTGAATCATTTTTCATCAATTTTTGAAGGCATACCGATGTCATATTTCTTCATTTTTAACATGACATCATTTATCGTTCTTAAAAAATCTATTTCATGTTTAAATTTTTAAAATATTATTTCCAGGTACTTCTTTAACTTAAATTTAATTTCAATACTGACCTCGAAATTTGTCAAATTTTGATGAATTTGACCATTCTTTTCATAAAAAAACACATTCAATTTTTTTTATTCCCGGTAATAATAATGTCGAAAATTACATTTGCCAGATTTGTCCATTTCTTTGGTACATTTATAGTTTTTATTAAAAAAAAATGGTATATTTATTTCTTAAAAAAACTATGATATATTTTATTACAAAAAATCAAAATTAAAAAAAAAAAAAAAACATTTTTCCTTTTTAAAAAGATAAATCCTAACCGTTGGTTTTTACATAACGGTATTATATGGCCATAGAAAGCGCGCCAAATAGCTTCAATGGGTCCCACCTCCAACTGGGCTTTCTTGTAATATCGCACTCCGTTTCCAATCATGGACCGGCGTCCCAGTTCATCTCTCGCGCGCTTGCTTTCAGAGGGGCTAGGGTTAGGGTTTTAGCAAGGAGAGTTCTGCAGCTTACTCAAACATGGCTTTCTGGGGTAAACTTGTCAATCCCTTGTATTATTTTCACCATTTCTTTCTTCTTGTTATCTTTTTTATTTCATTCTCTCCTTTTTCTCTATCCTTTATATTGAATTTGTTGTTGTTTATTTTATTTATTTAAATTTTCCTATCATGTTATGGAGTTTGATTGTTGGTTAGCATTGTCGAGTGTCGGGTGTATTTTTCGATTGCTTTTTCATTGTTTTGATTTTCTGAGTTTTCTTTGTGTTTTCTCATTTCTGTTTGTTAGTTTTCCAGGAACTGAAGTGAAGCCTGGAAAGCCCTTTACCCAAAAGTTCGATGACTTCAAAGGAAGGCTTCATGTTTCACTGGTAATGATTACAAACTCCACTCTTTGTTCTTTGTGATTAGAGTTTAGAGCTGGGTTGCCGTAGTTTCTTGGGTATTAGTTGTGTAGATTTGATTTTTAGTCCTTGTTTGGGTTTGGTAATTATTATGAATTTATGGATAATGAATTCGATAATTAGCAATTGGAAGCCCTTTTTTTTGTGTATTAGTTTCTTCCTGGGATGGAGGTCTCTTTGTCCCCTGCCCTTAGGTTGTCCTCTTTGTGGCTTTAATATACTTCATCTCAGTTTCTGATTAAAAAAAAACAAAGGAGACGGTTTTTCTCATGGATGTCATCGCAGGCAACATTGGGGTTTGGTACAGCAACAAAGAAAAGCGTTCTTCAGTGTAACGTGGGGAATAAGAGTCCTGTCTATCTATGCTCATTGTTTCCTGAGAAGACTGAGTGTTTGCAACTAAATTTGGAATATGAAGAGGCTGATGAAGTCATTTTTTCCGTTATTGGTCCTCGAAGCATTCACCTTTCTGGTTATTTTCTAGGAAGTTCCCGACACAATAATGTAAATGATGATAATACGTATCCATTAGTTTCTCTGCATCAGGGTGGATAACTTCTCTGTTGTTTATATTTATTTATGTATAGTAGCTCTTTATGGGTGTAGTATTTGCAATCCTTCAATTATAAAAAATAGTAGGCAAAGATAAGAAATATAAAATGTCTTAAGCTTTTTGTATATTTTCAGGATAGGATGGGCATCGCTTATATTTCAAGTTAGGATAATCATATAGCTTGGGTTTTTTTGAGATGCCCAATTTACTAAGCATATATATCATCTATCTATGACAATAAATTACCATGTTTCCTGTGTTCTCCCTTCTACCATGCCTTGTTTTCTGGGGCTTGTTGATTGCATTGTTTCATGATGAATTTTTGTTATCCTTCTTTAACTAACTAAATAAAAAGAGAATCCTATGGAGAAGATATTGCAAACACTGATACACAGAGCTCTGAGTATGCTGACGAAGACAAGTATGAGGATAGTTTTATTAATGATGAGGATCCAGAAGTTTTCTCCCCCTCTCTTATTTCGAATGAAGAAGGTTTGTATCTTGATTGCATTACCATCCCTCTCTAATAATTGTGGGGTCTTTTTTGTTTCCTCCTTGCATTCGTCTCTTCATTTTCTGCTCTTTCTGCATTTATTGAAGTCATCCTTTAAAGCTTGCTGTTATTTGCATTGATTTTATTGCATTTCAAAGTATTTGAGGCTGCCTTAATCCTCATGATTCAGGGATGGTGAAGCTTTATATCCGCACTCCTTTTGATTTTGGGAGACCATGTCCCAGGATGTTTTGGCCTATAACGTTGTTTATGAGAGAGAAGTTTTAATCTCTTCAATGTTTAATTGTTCTTTAATTTTTTGAGGCTGCATTTATGAAGTATTATGGAAAAAATAAATTTATATTCAGATTTGGATGTCTCTAGGCAGCCTAAGTTTCAAGTTGGTTCGATTTTCAACATTATGCATGAAGTTGAAGTTTTTGTTATCCTCGATTCTTAAATAAATTCTCTTTGTTCAAGGTGCATTAATATGCATGAGGGGTGAAGCATTAAGTTCCTAGTATTTAAGGTGCTTCCTTTTCCAAGAAGAATTTCAGTTGTCTTCATTCAATAGTTTATGTTTTTGCAATAATTTCATGGAAGTTTAATATCATTCATGCATCCGTTAATTCTTTTAGGGGTTGCGTATTTTCTCCTCATTTAGTCTTCTGGTGTATTCATTTGTTCCTTGCTTATTGAAGCTTCTTTAATGGGGCCAAATTCCATTTTTATGGATTAACTTTCCGCTTGGATTGAACAACTTGATGGGGAGTTGGAATTTATTCATCATGAAATGGTTCTTTGCATAATAGAATATCTTCAAAAGAAGCTAGATTATTTCCCAATACAAACAAGAGCTCAATGATGCTTACTTCGCTATTTTTTGAGAAGTACAAAGTAAAAGCTATTATAGCAGATTTGGAAGGCCCTCCCTAGTTTTCTCAAGTTTCTTAAGATGGTAGTAAAAGTCAATGATAGAGTCATCTTCGATAGAGGTGCACTTTGTTAGGTCTATGATAAGTTTTTGTTCATGGTTCTCTATTTTGTGTATTTGGTATTTTTTTTTTTAAATTTTCTTTTTCACTCCCTTTGGAAGTTTGTATCCCTTGAACTTTTAATCAATTTCATTATATGAGTGAGAGGTTGTTTAGTTTTCAAGAAAAAAATATTCTAAACTAGGAGAAATTTAATTGCACGTTTTGTGTTAGAAAATGGCATATGCTATGTGATTTAGGGATCTATATGGCTGTACCTTAGATGTTAGTGACCTAGATACCTTATATTTTCCCAGATGACCTATGTTCAAACATTTACAATATGGTTCTTATTATATATAAGACAAGTTTTGATTTTCCATTTTTAGTAGTAGTTTAAATCATGCTGATCGCAGTATGAATGCTATTTGATTTCCAATAGTTTGACCATTCTCAATCTGGTGTGAATAGATGAAACTCTTGGCAAGAACAAAATCAGAAATAAAACTCGCAACTGTAGGCGGCTCAGAAAGAGCTATCAGTTGAGCGAATCTGATGACGAAGAAAATTCTCAGCCTAAAAATAATGTAAAAACTGGGATCCCCTCAGAATCGGAGAGTTTAGATGAAGACAACCATCCCATATCCTCCTTGTGCAATAATAGAACCAAGGGAGAGATAGCTACGGATGCAGAGGAAAAGGAAGCAAGAGAGCACAAAGTCTTACATGAAAGCAGTGATACGAAGACAGAATTTGATGGCGATTTTGTTACTGGAGTTAATGGAAATACTGATGGTATTATTGATGATGGTCTGCTGAATGGGTGAGTTCCGGCTATAAAATTGTCATTTATGAGATAAATTGTTAATTTGCTTTCTCCTCTCAATGAAAAATAAAGTGCAAGTCTTAGATTTGTATAGCAGGGCATTTATGATTTTCTCTTAGAAATGTTTTGAAGGTCACAAATCCATGCTACTTTATGTATACAGTTAGTGCCTTTCTTGAGAACGTCTTGAAATGATGTCTAAATGGCTTGGAGCTTTTGTTGAACAGTGTTATTAATTTATGATGTCGACATTTAATGAATCCAAGCAAGGAAGCTAGAGAGCAAAATAATTTTTCATTTTTGCTACTGGGTCATTTCCTGGAAACGTTGAAGGAACACGTTAGTGGTGGGTTGGGGGGGGTGTTCTCAAGTTGCTGGGTTATGCCATCCTCAGATAATAATAATACTAAAGAAGCCATGCCTATGCCAAATAATGCACCAGATTGACCAACATCTAACTTTATTTTTTCCCCTTTTGATTTGAAGTTCTAACATCATATAACTCGGATCCGTTAAGTATTTTTCCGTTGGGTCGTTTACTTGTTCATAGAAATAATTCTTTTGAAGGGACTGACCTTGCATATTTGATGAAGAAACCGGGAAAACAATTGAATGAGCTCCTCTCAAAGGTATAAAAGGGAAAACAATTAATCAATGAGAAACCGATTCCAGGCAATTCCCCATCAAGGATTATTAAGCTGAATAGGCCAATTTCTAAAAGAACAACTGGCTTAGCATTATCTAATGGCTAGCTAGGGTTGGGAGAGAGCTTATAATGTCTGTTTATAGCATTGGCCAAAATATTTTTCTTGTTGAAACTGGGTTTTTCTCTTTGGTATTCTGAATGATGTCAACCAGTATACTAGCTCAGTTAGTGCTTGATATCTGCATTTATTCTACGGCCTTGAATAGGATTTATCCAGTAGGTTGGCATTGGTATTTCTTTTAAGGAGACAAGATCTGCTTTTGTTATTCACTTATCTTGCTTGTGCATTGGATATAGGGAATTAGGCTTGCCAATCAGATCTTCAGAAGTTGGTAGTGAACGGAAGAAGAAACGGAAAGGAGAGCGATCGAAGAGAAAACATGTTGAAGCTGATGGTAATAGTTGTAGTGGTGCCACTTCAGGAGTTGAGATCCAGCAAGATGAATTGAAGATGGATAACACAGTCAAGACTGTGTGCGGAGAGAAACAGGAGAACATGTGAGGATCAGCTTCAGATATTTATAGTTGCTGGATTACATTCATTTAAGTTATTCTAGCATATTTTGTATTTTAGCAGCCTGCTGACTATTCTATTTCTTTTATCTTGATTTTGCTATTATCCAAATCTGAAGCACTGATGTGGGCCATGAAGATAGTGAGAGACCAAAAAAGAAAAAGAAGAAAGGGTCAGAGCAAGCGAAAATCATCGAAAATGATGGTACATGCGATCTCAAGCCTGACAAGATGGACCAAGATGTGCAACCCACTTTTGATCAGTAAGTGTGCAGTCTCTTAATTCTTAAGTTGGTACCTGAGTTTGTGAGTGATCAGTAAGTGATTATTTGCAGTTTGTGAATGCTGCATTTCTGTCACTTTTCTGCTTGAAACAGGACGGAAAGATAATGCAGTAACACTAATGCAGCTCGGCCTCGGTGTTAATTTTTTTTTTTTATGAGATATCCCTAATTCACTGGAAAAATAACTGTCACCTAGAAATTGAAAAGTTATTGAAACTAATTTCATCTGAGTTGTCATGGTCAAAACAATCCAAAATCTTCTTTTGTTATCTTTATAATATAAAACATATACCTCAACTGGAGAGGATGGAATTTTCTAAACCAGGTATCTAGAATCTTGTTCGACTTGGGTAAGGCCTTGGTTTCTAAACCAGTTGCGAGCCTGAGTGTCCTATTTTTTTGTGCCACAATGTTTATGGACGACCTTTAAGTTCAATGTTTTCGACTGCAATTTTTCAGGACTGAAAATCATTCTACGACGAAGAAAGTAACCAAGAAGAAAAGGACCAAAGCACTAGAAAATGGGGATTCTTTGAAGTCAGAAACTGAGGATAAGGAAAGTAATGGTGTCTCGAAGTCATCTCAAGCTAGAACCTTACCGAGTGGCTTGGTTATTGAAGAACTAGAAGCTGGGAAACCAAATGGAAAAGTTGCTACTTCCAAGAGAAAGGCAAGATCCATTTGACTTACACATACACATTTTGATTGCTACCTTCTTTACTACTGATTCAAAGTTAGAATGTCCTTCATATCCTTGACTTCTGTTTGGTTTCAGATTAGTGTACTTTATGTTGGCAAGTTAAAGCAAAGTGATGAAATAGTCGACTCAACCGACGACAAGTCTCCTTATAAATTTCGCTTGGGTAAGATCACTTTTATAACAATGTGTCAATGATCCGTCTCCCCCTTTCTAATGAAATTATCTTCTATATATTTGCTTTCTCCAGGAGTTGGCCAAGTTATAGAGGGATGGGATGCTGGTCTTGATGGTACAAATTTCAAAATGAATGCTTGTGCTTTTCTTTTCTGTTTTTAATAGCTCAGTTTGATGAACACATCTTCTGCACATAAACCATTAGGTATGCGAGTCGGTGAGAAACGAAGACTTACCATTCCGCCTTCAATGGGGTATGAGAGGAGAAGCCAATACTTGTTCCCCCTCTGCACTGAGTTTTCCTGCATCACTTTTCACTTAAGTTCATGCTTTATTGCAGATATGGGAGCGAAGGAAATGGGGGAAATATACCAGCTGATTCGTGGCTCGTGTATGATGTCGTATTGATTAAGGTTCATTAGTTTATACACTTCTCTTATCACTGAAAATACGGGCATGTTTCTTGGTACCAAAGCTATGGTTAATAGTAGGAAGTATGGATGAGATGTGAGCTTTGGTTTGCCGTTGCAGAAATTTTGGTATACATAGCCCAGAGAGGGGGCTTATTGTCCCTTGAATAGGGAAATTAATAGGGGTTTTTTTTTCCCCCTTTTCTAAACGATACTTCACCTGATGAAGTGGAGATTCAAACTTTCAAATTGGAAGAAAGATTATTAGTTTCTTCAAGAGATTTTTAGTTGAGATCATGTTAAGTTGGAAAATGAAATCTACATAATTTGATTTAATTTGATAGTAATTTTTTAAAAAATAGAAAAATCTCAATTTACATTTATATGAAATTCGAGATTCAATAGTAGGGTCACCTACTCACTATTTTAAATATTCGACATTGTTCAAATTTTTTTATTTCATGTACAAATGATGGCATTCAAGACAAGTGATTGAATTTGTTGGTTGACAATGTGTCATTCGTGGTGGAATTTTACATCAATTGGAAAGGAGAATGAGTGTCAACTAAAACGATGGGTCTCAAAGGGGAGTAGATTGTGAGGTCTCAAATTGATTAGAAAGGGGAATGACATTGATTTAAGAGAGGAACGACATTGATTTGAGAGAGGAACAAGTACCAGAGAGAGAGGATGCTAGATGGAAAAGGAGAAGTAATTCGGTGCCAAAATGTTCTATTTTTATGAACCATTCAATTAATGTCTTCCTCATTGCCCCTTTTGTGTTAGCAAAACAAGGAAATCCTAACATTAATGATGCTAACTTGGACAATGAATGTAGAGAGACCTATCATAAATCAATTCTCCCATCCAAAAAGCTTTCATCATCAGCCTTCCTCTCTAGATCATCTTCAAGCCCTTCTTCACAATCTTCACCATAAACACAAATTTCACAAGTCGTTCTTGACTGCTTCTTCTATTTCTTCTTCTTCTTCACTTGGTAACTACTTCAAATTCTTGTCAAAGAGGATGAAAATGATGGCGATAGATGCAAAGAAACACCCATGCACGACTCCATTTCACTACCCAAACGAGTTAGAAGAAGAAGGAAAGCATAGTTTGACACGTATATTGCTTTGAAATGAAAAATAAAAATGTACCAGTTCAATTTGTTAAGCCTTATGTCTTTGATGAGTAGATCAGAAATTCGAATCTCAGACTTTATTTTATAATATATAAATAAAAGCAATACTCTTCGTCGATTGGGTGGATCGATTACTTCGACGGGGTGAGACAAAGTGTAGTGTAATCTTGCTGACATATCTATTTTGAGTAAAGAGGCTACGAGTTCGATTCATATCACCTTGATCTAATATTATTAAAGCTACAATGAATATGCACTTAGAACATTTCTAAAATACACCAATTCAAATTTAAGGCTTTTAAATTATTCCAAATTTTTTAGAAGGTTTCTAATTTTAAAATTTTTTCCAAAATAAGATTTTTCTTATTTTCATCATTCACCTCATTTAAAAAGATATTAAATAGTTTTTTCATAAATATCTTAAAAAATTAATTTTGTTTAAAAAAAATATTTTTTTAAAAAGTTATTCCAATTATGTATCATTTGATTCTAGGTTTATTTATAAAATAAATATAAGAAACTTTGCTATTCCATAGTCTCAATTTTTATCTAAAATTTTAAAACGATTTTTATTTTCAGAGTAGTTTTAAAATATTTATGAAAGATTAGAAAAGATATTCTACCAAAAGGTTTTCTCACAGTTCCACTTCAGTACCCGAGGAAATGGAACGAGTTCTCATGATACAATTGATTTTCAAACTAATGCCTTTAGCCACTTAATCATAAACTTCAACTTGTTGACAGGGCTATGGCTGAGTTTTCTTTTTCGAGTTTCCCCTCAAAATTTTTAAATTGCTTGTGCTAGAAAGAAGTTTTCACACTCTTGTAAACAATGTTTTGTTCTCCTTTCCAATTCTTAATTGGTGTGGGATATCACAATCCATCCTCCTTTGTGAACCAGCGTCCTCGTTAACACTTGTTCCCTTCTCCAATCGACGTGGGATCTCACAATCCACCCTCTAATCGACGTGGCTCTAGAACATTTGAATCAATTAGTAGCTAGAATGGTTGATGCAAAAGAGTTATAATTGAAATCTCAAATGCCGAAAAGGGAAAATAATTACGTGTCGCATTTCAAAAGCAACAGTTCCAACTTCTGATTCAGACCAAAATAGACCAATAAAGGGAAAAAAAGGGTTCAAACAAAGTTGATCCCACAAAAGAGCTTAGATTCTCAAATCTGAGAGCACGGCGGCCGGAATCCTACTCCGGGCAAATACCTCGAAACGAACTCTCGAGCCAGACATTGAAGCTCACCATCTTCATCCATCTCATCTTCATGATCAATTGGGTTCAGAAAGCTACTCGTCGTTTCATTACAACCTAGCTGCGTTTGGAGCGGGTCGAGGAGCATTGGAACATTAGGCAGCAGACCCATATCGGAGGCAGGGGTGGTTTCCGGGAGCGGATTGTGGCGAGCAGTCGAGGACGGGCTGTGTAGCGGTGGCGGTAGTAGCCGCTGCAATGTGGAAAGTTTGGCCTGAATGTATGCTAGCTCTGCCTGCAGGTTCACTACCTGTGATGAACATTGATATGAATTAGGGTTAGGCTTGATGAGTAGGAAAATGAGTTTATCGAAGTTGAAATACCAATACCGAGATGTTCTATGACCTAATTTCAACACAATTCAACTGTTTAGGTCGATGTTCTTGATCACGTATTGAATTCAAAGTAGTAATAATAATAACGACAAATAAATAAAGCTTCTGAGTAAGAACGAGAGGGAGAAAGCCATAAATTTGAAACTATAACGAAAGATTCTTTTCTAACTTATCTCAAAATGCAAACTAACATGGCGTCCTACCTAAGACAATTATATATATGTATGTACGTATGCACGTATAAATGTATGTATGTACATAGGTAGATATAAGTGTGAGGGAGATTGCTTGATGGACAATAATAGACCATATAATGACAATTAAACTTTGATATTCTTGGCAAATATAGAGCAAAACAAGCAAGCAAAAATTAAACAAACAAACTCTTTCAATCAATTAACTATTTTTATTTGCGAAAGTTCATGATCCACTTCAAATTCAAACCATAAAAGACAAACCTATATTGTCCCTACCGTTTCAAATTTAAGTCTATCTCGTCCCTCAGGTTTCAAACATCCAATATGTTCCTAATAGGCTCTTAAATTATCAATTTTTGTGTCTAATACGTGCTTAAACTTTTAATTTTATCCGAGCAAGATTGAGAAAAAAGTAATTTAAATTTTGAATTTTATGATTTTTTTTTTTTTGGTTGGAAAAATACAAATGAAAAATTGTTAATATTTAAAAATAGAAGGGTCATAAATAAAGGGGGATAAATATGAAAAGGTCAAATCTCCAAAGTTATATATTTGTTTATTTCTCGAGCAGCTAAAATTGTTTGCTTAGTAACTTCGGCAAGCAACACCAAATATATAAGCCAGCCGCCACCGCTCTCCGCTCTCTCTCTCTCTCTCAAAACAAGGAATTATTTCAATTAGTTTGACAAAAATTCATTGGAAAATGGGTCACTTAAATTTCACCCCACAAAATAAAAACCCTAATAATTTGTTTCCTACAAATTCAAGTCCCCATGGTTTTCAAGCAAATTCCCAATCAAAAAATCAATAGAAAGAACGAAACCCTTGAAGAAATATTTATTTTGAGTTCCGCCCCTATAGTTTCCTGTTTTTGCATTCAGGCACTTGAATGTTACACACCCAACACCCTCTAAAAAGAATACCCCAAAATTGGAGTATGCATAATAGATGGATGTTTAAAGAGATTTAGGTGAAATTTGAGTAGGATTTGAAGAACTGACCTGTTGCTGAAGGGAGAAGATATGGGCAACACAGCCATAGACAGGATCTCGAACCCTAGCCAGAGCTTCATAACAAAGGGTAACACAGGCGTCCAGCCGCTTGTTTGCCGGGATGCGGAGGAGGAGTTTGGAGGCATTGCTAGCTCCAAACACCTTGTGCACCGCCGCGAAGTGGGCGGCGCCTTGTTCCGAGTCGAAATAGGGTGCAAAAATGCACCCTTTCACACACTTTCTCCTCAAGAACTTGCACGCTCCGCAGGGTCCTCCGCCGTGGACGCCGGCGCTACTCATCACGGCGTTCTGGAGGTGGGATTTGTTGGATGTCGGGGAATTGTATGGTAATGGGGTTTTGGTATTTGTTGTGTTTTTTTTTTTTTTTTTTTTTTTTGGTTGTTTAGATTCTAAGTTTGATGAATTTGATCGTTTTATTTTGCAAAGATGGGTTTTGTGTGTGATTTTGGTTTGAATCTTAAAGAGGAGGGCAAGTTGAGAGGCAGCTGCTTGCGTGAAGCAAACATATAAACATCCAGTGGTGACAGAAGCAAACTTCTTAACCCCTCTCAATGCCTGCCACCTGGATACACACATCTAATCCTAATTTTATATTTCCCATCACTTTCTNTTTTTTTTTTTTTTTTTTTTTTTTTTTTTTTGGTTGTTTAGATTCTAAGTTTGATGAATTTGATCGTTTTATTTTGCAAAGATGGGTTTTGTGTGTGATTTTGGTTTGAATCTTAAAGAGGAGGGCAAGTTGAGAGGCAGCTGCTTGCGTGAAGCAAACATATAAACATCCAGTGGTGACAGAAGCAAACTTCTTAACCCCTCTCAATGCCTGCCACCTGGATACACACATCTAATCCTAATTTTATATTTCCCATCACTTTCTCTTTTCTATCCTCTCCTCTCTCTCTCTTCCCCTCCCATTCAAATTCCAACATGAACATAGTTGAATTAAATGAACATTGAATTAAAATAACTTCAATAAGTGTTCGTATTAAAAAAAAACTTCACATACAAATGAAGAAAGCCTCCGTCGCAACTCAAATTTATTACGATACAAACATAAACACTTTCGAATTAAACGGTAGAAATAGGTTAAAAACACGAGATATCATCCATTTGAACTATACTCAGATATTTGATTCCAAATTTGAATTGGGAAGAACCCTAATACAATCCCACAAAAAGAAAAAAGAAAGGTGTATGTATATAAAAGTTCTGTTGTGTGTGTAGGGTACATGTAGGCCCATTGCTATATTAATGTTGGTCACAGTGGCCTCATATTTGACATACAACCAAATTTGGTTGCTATTGATGGATCACACACAGATAGCTACATATGAGCCCTAAATTTCTCTTTATCCATCACCACCTCTCTCAACAAATACTTACCCTATCTTAGCTCACACGTGTGCCCTACACATAATTTGTCGTTTAGAACTCAAAACATTTTGAATAATAACTCGTAATTAAGCATCATTCTTTGAGTAGGATATGTACGACTATTGAGGGCACTTGATGCGTGTAATAGACGAACATTTTGTGCTGTTCGGAGGGCACGTGAGTTAGCTACCAACTCCCGATCGCATCTTGAACCCTTTTGAGTCAATTCTTTTATTATTCAGAAATGACATCATCATAATTCTCAAATAAATTTACCAAAAATTAGTTAATTAATTAATTGTGTTATTTAATTGAAATTGAAAATTTAAATTTTGATTATTTATGATTTATATATGATAATATAATAATAGTTTTTACTTATTGTCCACAAGACATTTTATTACCTGACAATTTGATAATTCGCGTGGTTGTCAACGCAAATCAGCAGTGAAAAGGACAGAAAAGTCAAAATCACCAGCAGTTACACCAAAATCCACGCCTGCTGTACGTTTTCATTGTCATTTCGAGACACGTGGCACACGGTCAAGGCCCTGTTCAACTTTGCAGCGTACAACGTTGGCGCAACCTTAATTACCCCCCTCCAAACCAAAATAATAATTTGACTTCTTTTATTAAACTCTGAATGAAATACTTTTTAACTTAGATTTTGCAAGACATTCAAATTTCAAATCAAAATGTCTTTTCATCCTTTCTACTTTTTTTCTACTTTTTTTATAATTATTATTATTAATCTACATAAATTGAACCTAATATTTACTTGAGATGCACCATTGACTTAGTTATATATTTTTTTAAAAAATGGTTAAAAAAATAATCGTATTGGATTAAATTTGGTAAGTTGTTTTGTAAAGATGAATTACGTTATTAATTTAGAAATTTTACGTGCACAATAACTTAATCTATCAAAGATCGTTGAATCGGTTTTCGAATCAAATCCCGTTCCAAATTTACAAAGAATATAGTTGTAAGGGATACATTTTATAAAATAAATAAATAACAGTAATATTTTGGAGTAAAAACTTACAAAAAAAAAAAAAAGTTAAAATATAAGATTTATTTTAATACATCCATCTACACAAAACCCATATTTTAATGCATGAAATTACTTGGACTAATTAGCAAAATGGCATATTAAAAAGCAAATAATAAGTTGTTTACCAAAAAAGTTTTGACCAAAAGGACTACTAAAGTAAATTAAAAAAATGTAGGGGTTAGATTAAATTAATTATTATTTAGGGTGCAAATCTTTCTCATTGACCCCTGGGGTTTGCATAATCACAATAAAAGATAATTAATCATAATTAAACTCAATTAATTAAAAAAAAAACATGTTCCTTTTCGAAGCATTTATTTGACTTTGTTAGTCTATTGGAAGGTGGATTTGCCGTTTGTTTAGGCGACATAATGCAATTTAATACAAATTTCTTAAACCCTTAAATTTGGGAATACAATCATAACCCTAAATATTTTAATTTTTACATGCCTTTTAGGGACCAAAGTTTAGGAATTCTAGGTTTTGGTCACACGGTTTGGGAGCTCGTGGGACAAACTTCATCTTTTTTATCTCAAAATGTGTGTTCATAATGTTTGTATCATTTCTTAAACAAAATTTTGTCTATAATCATTTGAAATGTTGGTTAAAATACACGCTATTTCCTCCACTTTGATTGAAAATTGTAAAAATTTAGTCTCTGTAGTTTAAAATTTGAAACCGATCGAGTTTCTATCGTGAAAATGTTGTTAAGATGTAATAGGGTTTTAAAGAAACATGGGTTGTTCCAAATTATAGAGAATAATCATGTTCATCTTATAGTCGTATCACATCTTGAATCTAATGTAGCAATGAATTGTGACAGAATTTTTTTGTCTTGTGCGGAGATCGTATTATGAATGGTATAATCTTTTGAATTATCTCAATTATATATCTTATCTTTAAGAGGTCTTTCCTCTCCTAACAAGTTTTTTCAGAATTAGAATAGGAGAGTCAGAGTTGAATAGAGGATCTATAGCTCTCACTCAAACTTTTAACGTGTTTGATGAAGCTCATGATTCATTTACTAAGGAATGCTCTCTTACCATGTATTTTATTTTACATCTTGTAGCTTTGACGGATCGTTTAACTAAGTTTATCCTTTTTTTTTCTTTTTTTTTTTTTGGTATAATATAAAAAAGAATCTACAAATACTCAAATTGGTCAAAACCAGAGGAGTCAAAAGCATGAGAAAAAAAAAAACCAGATAGGACATAGCTTTTGAATCCTTAATATTGTGATCTCAACCAACTTTTGGCTGTCCGCATGTGTTACAAGAATTCATAATTTCAACCAAGCACGGTGGATAACATATCAATTATGTTTCAAATTATGTTTAAATTGAATCCATAAAAAAAAAAAAAAAGTAAATTATTATATATTTAAATATATTAACAAAAATAATCAAGATAATAATTAAATGATATCTCATATTTCTTTAACAAAATGAAAAGGCTTAGAAATTTATAAAAATGTATAAAATTGAATAAATAGAGGGGAAAGTGGAGAGAGAATGAAAGAAGGTACTGTGAGGATGTAAGCAAAATCAAATCAAAGAAAGGAGAGTAATTGATTTCGACACGTGTCAGATATCTAGTGGGATTAAATGGAACGTGTCTATCACTGCTTCCTCTTCACACCGCACGGATTGGACAAAAGCCGGACAGCGCGGTGATGCGCCGTGACGAACTGTTCACATTTCTTTCTCTTTTTTCCATTCTCTATTTATTAATCATACGACTAAGTTATTATTATTATTTTTTTTTAACTATATGATTGGGATATGGTTTTGATTTACCCCCATATACTTTTAACTATATTTCCTTTTTTTTTTTTTATCCTAGGGATGCTGTGAAAAGATTTGACTTTTTGGTTCGGTGGGCATGATATCATGACGAATATGAAAAATCGAAGATACGCGTCCTTACTAACAAAACATAACAGGGAAATTGAATGCGTTCCTCCTAGTTTAAAATCATAGCATAAAATCAAAATCATTTTATTCTTCCGTTCATCCACGTCAGAGCATACGTATGTGTCATGTATACATAGTAATCATGGTTTTCATCTTGCTTTATCGTATGATCTATAACATGGAGAAACATAGCATTGCATAGTTTTTTTTCCTCTTCATTTGGATCAAGTCATGACATAATAAAATATTGCATACATACATAACATGGAATCGTCATCCCATAGCATACATAAGCATACATCATGGTTGAGGGAGGGCTACAAAATCTTCCAATTCCAACATCAACCCTACTAATAAATATAGAGTAGAGATAAATAAAAATGAATAAAGTAAGTAGAGAAATTGGTTTATGATAATTAAAAAAATAATTAATTAGGAAGAAAGAAAGACGTTACCGGGTATAAATCCAGTTTAAAGCATTGGGGATGTGAGGTCATTAAAGTACCCGGGCGTTACATTCATCCGCAAATTGGTGCAGCATGGTTTTGTGGTCCCCACCTCGGTAATTAAAGAAATATTTGTTTCATTAATACATACATTAATAATTGAACAGCAAGAATTAACGAATATTTAACTCTAATGTTATTTATTTTTTTATTTTCATTACAAATAGATGAGAATGCCTTTCTTAAACTATTTTTCAATAAAAGCTAACATACAGTAAAATTTAAAATTAAAACATTTTATAAAATTTATGATAATATATTAATTCGAAGTAGTTAAAAATAAATTAAAAATAAGTTGGAAGTAACTCGTAACATTTTATAGCTGCATCCAAACATAAAAATGTATGTTGTGTATGGATGGGATAAAATTCAACCCATAAATACTCGCCCAAAATTAAAAGAAAAAAGGAAAAAAAGAAAAAGGAGAAATGTCCCAAATTTTAGGCATAGGCCTTGTCGCATCTTTGCTTCACGCAAGCTGCTGATTCTTCTACCTCTTTAACTCTCAGCCCATTCCCCTCTCCCTACAATTTCCCACCAAACCCTAAGTAACCCTCTTCTCCCTTTTCTTTCATTCGCCCATCTCCATCTACAATCTTTACTTCCTATCCCCTATAATATAATGAGTGCCAACCCTGGTACTAGCGGCGGCGGCGGCCCATGTGGGGCGTGCAAGTTTTTGAGAAGAAAGTGTATTCCTGGTTGCATATTTGCGCCTTACTTCGACTCGGAGCAAGGCGCAGGGCACTTCGCCGCGGTGCACAAGGTGTTTGGAGCCAGCAATGTGTCCAAGCTCCTCCTTCATATCCCGGTTCACAAGCGCCTCGATGCTGTCGTCACCATTTGCTACGAGTCTCAAGCCCGCCTTCGAGACCCTGTCTATGGCTGCGTCGCTCACATCTTCGCTCTCCAACAACAGGTCAATTCAACTCAACTATTTTCCTTTTATTTATTTATTTATTATTCAAATAAATGCTTCTACTTTCCCAATTTTAATCACTTCTTCAAATGGGATCTAATTACGGTTCCTATGCCCTTAAATTAAATGGGTAATTTTTTTTTCTTGTTTTAAATTATGATTTTTGCAGTTATTAAGGAATCGGGCGGTCTACTGCCTTAAAGTTAAGCTTTTTATTAGAGGGACAAGATTTATTTCCTATGTTTCCCCAATTTTCAGCTTCTTGTCACTGTTTCTAATCCAAAACATTTTATTCCTTTTTATTAATCTTTGTATTTTGTTTCTTATAACGTTTTATTTATTTTTTATACCTAATATGTATACTGCATATTAGCAATACCTACTACGTAAATATCTATGTACTATTAACAGTATGGTAGGTAAATTTGTATTTTTTTTTTCTTTGTAAATAGTACAAAAATGAATTTTTTAAAAAAATATATAATTTTATATTTTCTAACATAATCTTTATATACTTGAAAAGAAAGGGAAAAAGCTTACAATTGTTTCACAGTGCTGTAAGATTGAATTAGAAGCTTAAAATGTTTAACTTTGTAGGTGGCGAGTTTACAAGCCGAGCTGTCGTACCTTCAAGCCCATCTAGCAACACTGGAGCTTCCGTCGCCGCCTCCGCCGCCAAATTTTGCGGCGCAACCACAGGTGTCCATCTCAGACCTGCCGTCGGCTTCCTCCCTGCCGGTCACTTACGACTTGTCGTCCCTCTTTGACCCAATGGCTCAGCCTGCATGGGCCATGCAACAGCAGCGGCTCGACCATCGCCAGTTCTCCAGTGGAGTTGCTGGCGGTTCATCCACAACGGCGGGAGAGGGCGATCTTCAAGCCCTGGCCCGCGCACTCCTCCATAGACATGGCGGTCCGCCGTGCTCCGATGCCTCGTCGCAGCCATCGCTCTCTAAATGAAACCTTTTGTTTTTTTTTTTTTATAAAAAAATTAATCCTTGCCTCCTTGATTTCTCTTTTGTCAAAAATTTTAGTGGAAAATTGATGGGTGCTTGAATTTGTTTTTTTGTTTTTTTTTTTTCTCTTTCAAATAAATTTGACTGGAGAATTTAATTTGTATTTAGTGTAGCTTGTCAAATAATTTAAAATGATAGAAAGTATTTTTAATATTGATAAATAAAAACCACTAAAAAGATTTAAATTAATTTAAAAACTATTTTTGAAAAACTCTTAAAAAATAGATTTATCCACAAATTATATTTAAGCGGCTAATTGGATATCTTTCTAATATATCATTAGATAATAAAATATATTTGTAACCAATAATATTATCAAATCTAAATTTAATAATATTATTATATTTATGTCAATATCTCAAATCTAAATTTAAATTTTGAAAATATCCTTTTTCTATAATTTTGAATTATTTGTAAAAACTATAAAAATAAAATTATGAAATGGTCTTTCTGTTTCCCCTATGTTGGGCCGAGCCTTGCATGAACTGAGCTTGGGCTCCCTTTATCCCATTTTAACTGCTTGGGCCTTTCAATTCTCTGGATAATATTACGAGGATCGCTCTCATTTATATGTGGTATTGGTTCATTCATGTACTTTCTTTACTCGAGTGTAGTTGGGTTGTGAGCGACAATATTACTATATCTTAGAGTAAAGAAAAATTACTCATTAACAGTTGGACTGAAATTATCGCACGAGTTCATCAAGCCCAAGGATGGTGTTAATCAAATGCAACAAAATTGAAAGGATCTAACCTCGAAGATTTCAAAAAAGTTGACACCTCACCTAATTAAGCAAACTAATTGTAATTAAAATAATGGTTTAAGGAAACAAAATTAAATAACGATAACTAATTGTAAACCAATCCCTATCCAAACACATGGCACCCCAGGAATTTAGTCGGCTGTGTATGCTATAAAAAATAGTGTCTTGATGCTCTTCAGCCCTTTCTATAATTATAATTTATATTATATGACTAAACTTTGATGAAAAGGGCACTAAAGTTAGTTCATGAATTGGATAACCTAATTATACGTTCAATTGTAAAGTTATTCGCTCCAACTCGATTATAAAACATTGAAGTTAGGTTGAAAGGAAGTTGTTTAGACAACAATCTTAAAAAAGTTGGTATAGTATTTTGTTTAGTTTAAGATAATGGGTTTTGATTTGTTTGATGAAAAGCATCCAAACATCTTTGTCAACGGTTACAAGCTTCAGCTCTTCACCTGTCCTTTAATTTAATTTTTTTCACATTATTTCAATAATTTGTCGCTCAAAATCTCCATATACATTATTATTAATTGAGACCATTTAAAATTTGCATTTTGTTCTTAAAATTCACCCAATTAAGGTTTGGTCCATTCAAAATTTGCATGATTGAGGGACACATAATAATTGTTTGAGTGAGAATTAAGGTGGGATTGAAGGGTGTGATATGCACGTTGTATGTTTGTATGCTGTATGTTCCATGTTCCAAGAGAAAGAAGAGGGAGTGGGCCCATGCGCACCGCCCATGCGCACGCCGTTCTGCCACAAACCAAAACCAAACCCAAAGCCCCATCATCCATCCATCCATTCCCTTAGACCTAATCCCTTAGCGCCCTCATACACAAAATTTATTATTATTATTCCACATCCCTCTCGGTTTCCTTCCTTCTCGTTTGTTTGATGTGTAATAAGTTGAGTTATGTTCAAATTGGTGTCCCTCCCTTTACGTTCTTCTTCATTCACCCCCCTCCCCAAACCCTCGACCCCAAAACACTCCCCAAACTCCAAAATTTGGTCATCCATGGGTACCCACAACACGATGAAGAAGGAGATGGAATATGTGATGATTTAGGTTCTTCAATTTGCCCATCTCTTTTTCCTCACCAAAATCATCACAAACCCCTCTGCAAGATTCAAATCAATTCAACCCAATTACCCAAAACAAGAGGAGAAGAAAAAAAAGAGAGATTTGTTTGATGGAGTTTGATATGGATAGAATTACACCCCACACTCGCCCTCTTCCCCCTCCTTTCCTCTCCAAGGGTCTTCATCTCCACCACCGCCAAAACTCCCATGACGACCAAAGCGGCGGAGCTAAAAGGGATAGGGAGGAGGAAAATCCCATCACCGCGGCGGAGACTAAGGAATTATCCAATTCTTCTTCTCGACGCCCACGTGGCCGACCAGCTGGTTCCAAAAACAAGCCAAAGCCACCCATTATAATCACTAGAGACAGCGCCAACGCCCTCAGATCTCATCTCATCGAAATCTCCACCGCCTCCGACATCGTGCATACCCTCGCCGCCTTCGCGCGTAGGCGTCAGCGCGGCGTTTGTATTTTAAGCGCCACTGGAACCGTCGCCAACCTCACTCTCCGACAGCCAGCCTCACCCGCCGCTGTCATCTCCTTACATGGCAGATTTGAAATTCTCTCCCTATCCGGCTCCTTCCTCCCGCCGCCGGCTCCCCCTGCCGCCTCCGGGCTGACCGTCTACTTAGCCGGTGGGCAGGGGCAGGGGCAGGGGCAGGGGCAGGTCGTCGGCGGGAATGTAATCGGCCCACTTCTGGCGTCCGGTCCGGTGATTATTATGGCAGCTTCATTTGGAAATGCTGCATATGAACGGCTACCCATTGACGAGGAAGACGAAACTTCACCGGCGGCGGAGATGGCGGGAGAACAGGCAGCACCGCCGCCGCCGCAATTGTTGGGGGATCTGAATGGGGGATTGTTTGATGGTGTGAATTCTTCATGCCAATTAGCGGCGGCGGAGGCGGCGTATTGGGGAGGAGGTCGGCCACCGTTTTGAAAACATAATCTTTTGGGGGTTTGATGAAATTTCTTTTCTTTTTATGACTTGGAATTTACTTTTTATTATCATCTCTAAATTAACTTGTGTTCTCCTTTATGTGTGCGATTTCAGTTTGTGTTTTAATTGGAACATAGAAAATGATGAAAAATGAAGGTAATTATTGTGGAATTAGAAGAAGGATGTCAAAAATCCTACCTATTAATCATTATGTCTTAACTAAATTATGTTAATTTTTTAGTTGTTATGTTATTAGGGTTTGTTCTTAATTTTTTCAAAGCCACCGGAGAAGATGGCGGAGGGCGGCGGCCGGAGAATGGGGAAATGGGGAGGTGGAGAATCCGATGTAGAAGGGGGAATGAGGTCAGATTTTGAGGTATTTTTGTTCTGAAAACTGGGGATGGAGGAGAGAGAAAATTAGGGTTTGTAGAGAGAGAGAGAGAGAGAGAGAAAGAGGAGCATTGGGCATTGGGTCACACGTGCAAAGGTGTGTGAAAACAGCTCCTTTTCGAGGCAACAAACCAGACCCGTCTTCATTCACTTTCAGTATGCGTTAAAATTCTCTTTCTCTCTCTCTATTTCCCCCCCCCCCCCCCCTTTTTTATTATTATTATTTTCATTCTAAACCCTAGCCATTGCTGGTGCTCTCAAAACTAAAAATTGAATTCCACGTCCACCCAAAAATTTGAGTGAGATGATAGGATAATTAAGAAAGACTCCGCATAAATAAAAGTTATTATATATATACCAATAACGTGTAATTTTCCTTTTCAGTGACTAAATCGTAAAAATTTCATGATTAAGTAGGTTTTGTGTTGGGCGTTCGTTTAGGATGCATGTGAAGTGAGAACCAAACGGACTTGGTCTGTGGGGATAGTTTTCACTCTTAAGAAGTATCGGATAGCCTGATTGTGGTATATGCCCTCTCTTAGGGCGTGGAAGTGGAAGGAGAATTTGTTTGAGGTCGTACTCAAACAACCCACATTCTCCTCTTTTTCACTCACCAACTTCACTTCCTATACAAGATTATTCGGATAATTATGACGATGGGCAGGCAGCCCTTACACCGATCTCAATGTTCGTACATTTCTATAAAATTGTTGAGATTCTAATAAAGTGAAGTAGCCTTTGCATACATTATTCTATGCGTTTTGGTGGCTAAGCTAACCCACGTGGAAGCCTGGGGTTTTCAGATTCCTACAAAATCTGGGATTAGGCTATCGTTCTTATCATTACAACACGTACAAGTAAAGATGGGGGAATGGATGGATGTTCTTTTGGTTTGATCAGTTGGAATGTTGTCAAATTTCAATACTGCGGGGAGAAAAACTAAGAACAGTCCGTACATTTTATCTCGGCTCTCCCATAAAAGGGAGCACGGGTCTTGATTGTGGTGAACCGAAAGTCCGCTGCAAATTTCATATAGGAGGAGAGTCATGGTATTGGGCTTCCTAATATCTACGGAGCATAGTTTAGTTTCTGTTGGGCTGAGGCCCAGAAAGAATTTATTCGTAAACGCTCTAATAATACTAATCTTATCTCACTACAATTAATCAATTGATTAAGCAGTAAATTTACATCACTTTTTACCTTCTCTTATGTTAAAATTTGTGGGTAAATTAGTACAAATTGAATTAAAACAAAATAATAATTAGAAATTTGTCCACAAAATTATGGGCCGGGTTAAAACGTATCCTAAAAATTTCGAAAATGTGAAAATTGAAGAAATGAAAGAGAAAATTATAAGAGTAGGAAGAGTCCATTTCTCCAAACCAAACCAGCAGCCGTGGGGACCACTACTACACACGCTGCCGCTCGCTCACTCTCTCTACAAAGGTGTATTCAGAAAATACTAATAAATCCAAAAATAAATTATATCAAATAAAGTCCCAATTCAAAAAATAAAATACAATAAACGAAGAGACTGATGCTAGAGGAGAATTACGATTTAGGACAAGAGTAGAGAGGAAAACATGGTGGTAGCAACGGCAGCGACAACGGCAACGGCGGAAGCTTTCACGTGAACGGCGGAGCTTCCAGGAGTACTGGTTTGCGCCTCAGCGCTAGGTGCATTGGCCGGCGAACCTTCCGGCGTCTCGGAAGGAGGAGCAGGCGGGGACGCGGCGAACGGAGACGGAGCCTTCGCGCTAGGACTCGGACTTGGAGCCAGAGACGGCGTGGGGGTAGGAGAGCTCACAGGTTCAGGTGCTGGCGCAGGCGAAGGAGACTTTCCGAACAACTCCGAAGGAAGTAACAGACTATCGACGCTGAAAATAGCGAGCGGAGTCGCGTCGAGGACTGTATCGGCGATTCTCGAGGATCCAACTCCGGTATGGAGAGTAACCGCATCCCCGGCCGTAGTCGTCGTAATGTCGAACTTGCCGGCACCGCTAGTAGCCAGAGTGTCGATTGGATCCTTAGTCGTCTTCAAGGCGCCGATGGGAGAGTAAGCGGCCAGAGCATGGTATAGAAGAAGCGAAACAACTTCAGCATTCGTGAGTTTACTCAGATCTGGAACTCCGTCTGCCTTGAACGCTTCGTCGTTTGGCGCAAATATGGTCAATCCTTTCTCAACCGCCGATTCGTAAGTCTTGATCACACCATTCGAAACAAGCAGCGACGCAAACGTCTTACATCCGGCTTTCTCGAGCAAAGCCGTGATGTTAACATCGGAAGCCGATGGAGCCGGAGCCGTCAAAATCCCCGGCGCGATTATCGGCGCACTGATCTCAATAACCGAAATGTTGTACGGAATCTGCTTAACCGACTTCGTGTAACTCGAATCGAGTTTAGATCCAGGCGCAGCGGAGCCGAATGCGACCTTACCGCCCTGGAGATCGGTAATGTTGACGAAACCTAGATTTCCAGGCGCGTGGCCAGTTGTCTGGTAGAGCGTGGTGGAGAGAGTGGTTCCGTTGGAGATCTTGTGGAGTTTCGCAGGATCGTAGTAGTCCAGGACAATGTGGAGACTGAGGAAGTTTTTGATGACGGAGAGAGGATGTTTGGCTACAACGGAGGAGAGAGCGCCATTGGAGACAACGAGGATGGTGATGGTCTGCCGGCTGTTAATCTCGTCGGCGAGTCTCGTCTGCTGCAGGTAGTTGCTGTAATCGCTATACTCAGGGAAGTTCTTAAGAATGTCTGTAATATTGTGGGCGGAGGCGGCAGTGGCTGCCGCGAGGGCGAGGAAGAAGAAAAGGGATTTGGAGGCCGCCATGGGAACAGGGAGAGGAGAAACAGACGGAGGTGGAGTAGGAAAGAACGGGGGGTTAAGGGAGTGGAGAGGGTATAAAAGGGTAGCCAACTAGGGTTAAAGGGAAGTTAACTACAGTTAAGGGTATTTTGGGGAATGTAGGAAAAAGGAGGCAAGGCGCTTTTGTACACAGCTGGAAATAACAAAAGTGGTTTATGTGCTTGGCGTATGGCACAGAGGTGGCTTCTTGCTTTCTCGTACTTTAGGCGGAATTACCCTTTTGTCCCGGAGCTTACCACTTGCAGTAGTTATTAAAATGTCTTTTTTTGTGGGGGGCGGGGGCAACGGTCACATTCTCAACCGTAAACAGAGAAGAACGTTGAGAGTTGGGTTCTTTGGTGGGAGTTTTTCTTTTCATTATTCTTTTTTATTTTTCTGTTTCATTTTCAATTTTGTTGTGAAATGCTTTACATATAACTAACAATAATGATAATATTTTTAACTCTATTTCAAACTTTAAGATCTTGTGCTCATTCAAACATTTTTCTTTTATTTTTTTTAACTTCAGTATGAATGTTCAAATGCGTAACAAATAGACTTTACGTTACCATTATAATTCAATTACAAATACCTGATGTTTTATCAAATTCATACATCAATAAACGATAAAAAGAAACCTATTAATCTCATATGAAGTAAAAGAAGAGCATAAGACGGGGTTAGCTTTCGTCACAGAATCTGTTTCTGATAAGATTTTCAGAATCTGACCTTTGGTTTCTGAGTCGATTGCTTGGTAATTTTTAGAACAAATCTTCCCTTTTAGACAATATTCTCATAACTCTCCAGCAACTCTTTGGGGCTAGTGATGCGGCGAGAGAATCCCATTGCCAGCTTATCGCACCCCTAATGGAACAAAATCTGCTGCTGCCCCAACACAACCACCACCATTAATGCAAATCCAGCTGCCAACTAAGAATGCTGAGCTATTCAAAGATGCCAGTTCGAAAAGAGTTTCATCACGATTCTATTTCAAGTTTTCCAGGTTGTTTTGGAAGAGGAGCTCAAAATAATTTTTAAAAGATAGTCATATTCTAGCAAACAGACACACAAGGCACATTATATATCCTAGTTTCAAATATTCATGGCTAAATTATGAAAGATAAAAAATGTCACAACTATACTTTTAAAAGTTACAACATTAATACTCTTGACCTTACATAGTCATCGTTTCAAAATTATACTAGGAGTACAAATTCTTAAGAATTTTAGACGAAAATGAAACTTGAAATAGTGTGGCAGTGATTTCATTCAAGGTCACTTACACACTATTTCAAGTCCCAATTTTAGTAAGAAATTCTAAGAGATTTCTACTTCAGTAGTAATTTTGAAAAGTTTATAAAATATCAAATTTCTGAAGATGTATAGGGACAATTGAAGGGTAATTTTTTTAAAAAATTTAACCATGATGCATAAAATGTGAAAGGTAATATTAACTTTGAGACTTGAAGCAATGAGATGATGGCATAGATCTTAATACAATGTGATGAAAGCATAGAGGGTAAATTAGAATCCAAATACAGCCACACAGTCACATTTTGTTTCTATTGATTGTATATACTTCAGAAAATTAAGAGGCTAAGCTTTAACAACTAAATGTAGTTCAGACTCTTGTAAAAGGAAACAAAGGGAACGGAATGATTGTAAACTTACAATTAAACAGCTGGTGATATTGTCATTGAAGGTATTTGCAACCCTGGCCTTGAGGTCCATCCCTTGCGGTTTCTATATTCAGTTATAGCCTGCAATCGCTTCCTCTCTTGAGAAGCAACTTGTGCAGATTTAAACGCCTATATGAAACATAGGAACAACAAAATTGTCAAGTACCCAAATGGGAGTGTTCATTTATCATTTAACTTGACCATGTAGAGGTAGATGTTACCTTCGGAACTGCAGTCAACTTCAATGGAGCTTCAACCACGTCACCAAATTTTATTTTTTCATGTCTTGGGAAGTCTAGATCCTCGTCTGATATGCCTTTTTTGTGTTTATTTTTCTTAGCCTCGTGATATCTATTAGAAATAAACGTAATGGATCAGTTAAATAAAGGGAACAAATGCTTCCCAGTTCATCAAGTTTCTACAACAGACCTACTATAACATGGTACATGACAAATGCAATCGAAATGACCACGATTCGAATACTGAAAATGGGTAGATAAACTAGTGCATAATTCTGTAATAGCCTTAAGTTCAATTGAAAAACCAGAGGATTAGGATATACTTCTAGAAAACCATAAGAAAACTGGTTGAAACATTGGAATTATATTTGAGAGTCCCTCCATCTCTCTGAATTACTTACAAATTCCTTGCTTTTACTCTGTACCCAACCTCATTCTTCCCTTGTATGCTTCCTTTGAGAACCCTCCATCATCCTTCCTTTGCAATTGCCAACAATTTCTCAGATTGAATATTGGTTGATTGTCTATCGTTTGCATGCCAGCCCTTATGTACTTAGATAGTTTCTTCCCCCCAAGTATCAATTTTGATGCCAATTCGATTGCTCTAATTTCGAAACTGCCAACAATCTTTCAGATTGAACATTGGTTGACTGTCTTTCGTTTGCATGCAGGCTCCTTAAAATGAATTAAGATAGTTTCTTCCCCCATTAATTTCGATTTCAATGCTCAAATTGGAGAGATTGCTCTAATATCACTTTTTATTCCATCCAGTATTTTTTCACTTCCAGGTCAAGTGTTCTAGTACCAATATTGATAGAGTAAATAGAACAGAAATATTTTCGAAATACTTGAAGAATATAGTTAAAATATTTGAAAAGACTGCTTCAAAAACTCAAAGTCTAACAAAACAATTGTTTCCTACATCACCTCCCTAATATACCCTTATATCTTAATATCCTTAATAATATTTCCAACACCAGCCCTAAAGGTATTCCTAAAACCATCCTCCTGAATAACTTTTTTTGGATAAAATTTTTTAGATTGCTTCCCTATCAATTAGCACTACTACTTCTTTCTCTCCGATTTTCCCTTCAAACACATATTCCCCTCATACAAAAAATTTCCTCGTTCTCACTCCCTGAAATAACCATGAACCCTTCTAACTAGTCTCCTTTGTGCATGCAATACTTCATGATGCCTCTTGCTCGCATAAGTCTCATTACAGCCTATCACATTGCTATGATTGAAATAAAAAGCACCTTGTATAATCAAATTGCTCAAAACTTTCCTTGGGCACCAAGTTGACAAAAATGAGGTAGATAGGGTCCTCTCAGATAGCCAAATTATGTCACTACCAAAAGGAAAACATTGGGACATTGCAATTTCTGGACGTTTCTCTTCATCATTTAAGCAATACGTTCAAAACTTATTTGTTTTATTTTCACTTATGGAGATGTAATTGGAATAAAAATGCAAAATGAACAAGTCATCTCAATAGTAAAAAAAACATGCAACCTCACAAAAGGTAAGGGAACAAATTTTTGAGGTGCAGTAAAATGCTTACTTTTTTTGGCGTTCCCGTTTCTTTAAACGTCGATTTGAATTCTCCGACAAGTCTTCAAAACGAAGGTCAGTAACCTGCTTTTTCTTTCGTTTTTTGTTTTTCTTCTCAGTGGACTTGCTTTGAACGTCATCATCACTCCCCGTAAGTTGAGGCATTTGTGAATTTCCACCATTTCCTTTGCTCTTTAAGTCAGATTTTCCCGGAGCTTCTTTTGGATGGTATTTCTGTATAGAACGTGGAAGTCAAACTACAACCGAGTAACACAGACTATAAGCATGTAATGCCGTTATCAAGGTCTTCAAGCAGGCAAACTTAACACGAGAAATTTTGCATCCCCATTCAGGGGGAGTAAGCTTAACCTCGTAACCACGCCGGATAAAATAACAGAATAAGCCATTTACTAAACAATAGAAACTACTAATATATATCTTCTACTCTAACGCCAAACCAGGTACGCGGTAAGACAAGGGCAACGGCAACCAAAGAAGAAGATGATGAAACGAAAATACTTGGGATGCCTAGTGATACTAATCTCAACTTTCTTGCACCCGAACTTACAACAACAACATTGGTTAGAGACTGAAATACTAAATGATACAATGCCAATCCTCTGTCACCTTGTCCAGTATAAGCCCTAAGACAAAATAATTCAAGTAAAACCCGATAACTGCAAACATACTAATCTGAGACAGAGAAGAATTAAAGAAAAATACCAATTACCTTTTCAGTAGTATCAACGGCTTCTCTCTTGCGCTTACGCTGAACATCCTCCGAGACCTTCTCAGACTCTGTAAGCACCAGGGGAGGAGATTATAGCCTGAAATAAAAGAAACTCATCGACAAACAAATAAACAAACCTTGAGGTCGAGGGGAAGTGAAGGACATTAATTTGCGGAGTTTGGAAGGTAGAGTATCGACTTGGGAAGCGTTCGGCGGCGGTGGGAGACGATCATAGCCTCCATGTGCGGCTCTGTAATTCCGCTCTCTCCTCCGTAGTCCTTTGCCACCCATCTCTCTCCCGAGAATAAAATTTACAACCCTACGTCGGAGTTGGAAACCGGAGTACAGCTGCAAGCGCCGCCGCCGAAAAAGACCGGAGGGAACTCTGCCGATGGCGTTTTATGAGAGGCAGAAAACAACGTAGGTTTGCGAGGGCAAAATCAAGGGAAAAATAAAAAGGAAATGAGAAAAGTATAGTTAAAAAAAGAATTTGAAAGTGAAATGACTTGTATGCCCTCACCCACTGAATATTAAAAAAAAAAAAATAATAATAATTTTTACTAGGGGGAGAATAAATAGAAAAGCATATGATAAAAAGAAGAATCATGGTCTAATAAGTAAGAGTTTGAGAGTAAAAAAATAAGCTATTTGGAGAAAATGCAATAATTATTTGCTTCAAATTGCTACAAATCTCATCTCTTTAGCCTCGAGTTTTTTCCCCTTGCATTCGAACTTTTTAGCGACAAACAATTTCAATTTAAGCTTCACCTAAAAAAGACAATTGCTTTCATACTATTTGTTTTCCAGTCGAATATAAAAAAGCACTAATACTCCCAAATTTCTCACCACAGCTGTCTCATTTCTCACATTCGGACACTCCAACATCGATGGCGGTGGAGACGGCAGCGTTCACGGCGCTCGGCGCTCTCTTGATCACGGCGGCGGCATCTCAAACCCCTCCGACGGCTTATTCTAATCACACAGTCGGTGGCCCTGCAGGTTGGTTCTTCAACGCCACCAAGAACATTTCCGCCGCCAATTACTCCTCCTGGGTAAGCTCAATCTCTCTTCTCCTCCTTTAGATTATATGTTCGTAATCGTCTTCTTGCTTCACTAATTTCTCTTCAACTATACATTACTGCCTTCATGGTTCAGGAATAAATGTGTTTCGGTTGCTTAGATCAACTAAACCAATGGATTTCTGCTATTTTCTCTTCATTAGTTCAGATTTGTGCTCAAAATCTAGATTTCTATTTCGCAATCTGAATTCGATAATCCGACTACGGGTATTGCTCTCTCTTATCAATCAATTAACTAACAGAACTTCATGGTCATTGTTTCGCTTGTCTTATTAATTGCAGTCTTCAGAACGAATTCGAATCACACCGTGATCCAGTCCTACAACTTGACGGCATTCCAGAGCTGCTCCTTCGACGACGCCTCCGATAACGACACGCTTCAGTACAATGGCGGAGATACCGACTTCAACAAGCCATTGATCATTCAAGTGCCACTGACCATCAAAGGTTCGAACTACTTCTTCTCCGACGCCAATGACGGAGTTCAATGTCAAGAAGGTATGGCCTTCGAGATCCAGGTCAATACCGGGCTCGGTTTGCCGCCAAGCCTGAATCAGCCGCCTCCACCTCCTTATGCGACGCCGCCGGATTCCAATTCGGTTCAGATGCCTCCATTGATGATTCCTCAAACAAAGAACAACGGCAGCCACAAAACCATCGCTAACTCACGCCGAGATTTCTTCTTCATCGCGGTGATGGTGTTGCTGCTACTCTGCTAGACGGCCGAGGTCAGATTCGAGATCACAGGCTTCCCTCCCTGTCCTCTGTGTGGCAGTTTTGTAATATATAGATATATATACTTCCAGTTCATTGATATCAATAGAGACGAGATTATAATATTAAAGAGTCTGAGCTCATTTTAATCAAAGAACTTCTACTTATCTCAAAATATGTCAAATCTACGAACTTCTAAGTTTGAGGGGGTGTGATTTTAGTGTAGAGACATTCAACGACAGAGAATGATAAAGGGAGGAATATAATGTCAAAGCAATTGCAAAACCTTTTTCCATTTGTAACCCAATAAATCCATTTTCTTTCTATGTGCCAATTCCATCCTCACATGTAGAACCAAAGCGCTCAAGCCTTCAACCAAAGTAGCCTAAAGCCACTGAAAATAAACGGAACAAACTCACAGCTTGTAAAACATTCTTCTGCCTCATTTTTTTTTAAAGGTAAACACTGTTGACTTTGTTAGACATGAGCTAGTAGAAACCAACAGTAATTGTTCAAAAAATGGGAAGATCCTAACCACAATCAAGTTGTATCTTCCTCTTTTGGATTCTCTCGAAGAATGTCGTCGTCATACGAAACTGGTACTCTTAATCTTTCGAGAACAGATGATCGTTTTTCTTCGGAATTTGATTCTTTAGATTGATTCTGCAAAGGAGTAAGGCTTTGGATGCTATCTGGTTGATCTTGAGAAGCTCCTTGTGAGAACAGGTGAAGAACTTCCTGAGAACTTGCTTTCCCAATTTCTGTAGCCTCCCGTCGGATATTTGGTTGCTTAAATTGTTTCTGCTCCATCATGAAATAAACAAAAAAACGTATGATCGCGATGATTATCATTCATGCTACCAAAATAGAAATAATCAATGAAGGATTAGCTTCACGGATAGGATCATCAGAAGAAATTGGATTTTGACATATTCTAACATAAGCATGAATTTCAAGAACAAAGAAACTAAGAAAGAAAAACAGATAGTAAATGAGCTCAACAATTTGAGAAATGTCATTAGATATAGGCTCCCTAGCGAACTAAGGCCACTCTGAATAAGATGAAAGATTCAGAAAGATGAAACGTTTGCCATGACAATTAAAAATCCTTTAAGAGTCTCCTCTAGGAACATTGATAGTATTTTTCTATGCGACCAAAATAAGAGTTGCACATTCAATTGGAAAGAACATGGAATACACCACGATGTCAAAAAGGTTTTGTTAAATACCTCAAACTCTTTCGCTCGTTTCATAATTTCTTTATAGGCATTTGGTTCCCGGGTTTTGATGATGCTCCATAATATGCCACCTCCAGTTCGAAAGCGCCTGCCATCTGCAGTCATCTGACCTCCACAAGCCTGAACTGCATTGACCTGGAGTTCCAACATGTCAACTTGTATAAATAGAACATAGAACATATGGTGTCATATCGTAGGAAGGGAAGTGCTAAAACAATTACAAGAAAAATCAACCACAGATTAGTGAAGCAACATCAGTAACTCAAAAGGGCAAAACAAGGCAATAAATGGTTATAATTTTTTAGAAGTGAAAACAGATTTTCAAGAGCCCACATATGAAAGCAAATCTCAAACCCTAAGATCAAAAATATGATAGGACATGCACAACTGAGCTGCATATTTTAGTTAAAAACTTGTTAAAAAGTACGTGTTGTTAAAAACTTCCCAGCACATTTCAACAAAGCCTAGATCAGTAAGAATAATCAGGTGGAGTAGTGGTTTCAGGGAAGTGGATGGAAAAGAGGGATTGTGAATTGTGATAATGCTAAAGTTTCTGTATAAAGTACAAATATCTTACAGAGATCATAACCAAAAAATGCTGGGAAAACAACATCAACTTATATAGCACAGATGCAGTAGTCCAGCCAAGATGGTTCACAGCTCAGAGAACAAGGTTTAAAAGGAGCAAATAGCTTCAGCAACAGAATCTGCAAGGGTAGGAAATAATACTGATTAAATATGAAGAGTGACTATGCGGTATGATACTTACTGGAGTCGAGACTGGATGGCCATAATTAGGCAGCCCAGTCAAAAACTTGTTGACGTGGTTTGGTTAGATAGGGTTTGTCAATTCGGTTCATTTCCAAACAAAACATAGAAAACCAGAAGAAAAGTTTTCAAACTAACAATGATGGATTATTCATAAATTTTCATCACTCAAGCAAAAAAAGTATTCTTCTATCAGGTTCAAAAAAGATAATAATTACCTCTTTGATAAATTCACTTAATGCAGAGACTCCCAGACAGCCTACAGCAGTGTACACCATATATGATTTTTTCTCTTTCAAACGTCTGCATGCATCCAACACAAACCTGAAAGAAACAAAAATCAGCATAATATAGAAGTCAGGGAAAAAATTGCTATTTCTTAATGGCTACTAATCAATCTATTAATCTATCCTTATTTGCTTCACAAAACTAATATGGATTCCCCAAAAACAAACTCTAAAGAAAGTGCAGTGTAATGCATACAACATGATTAGAAAATTTCACTTCACCTGTTAATATCAGTGCCATTTGAACCTGACTCGTATGTCTTTCTTTTGTTCTTCTTTTTCTTTGACCGACGTTTACGATTTTTACTTCTATGATCTATACTTGGCGCTTGGACATCTGTAAGACTGCTTTTCTCTGTACTGATATTGCCCTCAACGAGCTCTCCTTCTTCCACATCGACCATTTCAACATCATCATTTTCCAAGTCATCTTCTTCGTATATGGCCTCAAGTATGTTCTCTTGTCCATCCATAAGACGCCTTAATTCAGAGAAACAAAGATTTTCAGAAAATAATCAGACATCCTAGAGATGGTTTCAGGGAACACATATAAACTGCAACTTGTAATTAGCAGGATATGCAAAACGAAAATGTAATCAACACTTAAATAGCTTTTGGGAGTTCAATGAGATTAAAACTACTCAAATGTAAAATGCCAAAATTGGATGACAACACTTCTTTTTCTTTTTTCTCCAACAATCTGTGCCTACCCCAAGGCGAAAGAGGCATCAAGATGGTAACTGGTCGTCATTGTCAACAATGTTGAAAGAATCATAAGGAACTTCTTTCGCGAGGTAAGCTGTGAAAAATGGTGGCTCCCATTTTGTTCCTTGGAGCAAAGTCAACCTCTTCCCTTAATGTAAATAAGAATTTGGCTCTCCACTCTAAAAAGGCTTTGGAAATTTCCATCGGAGGAAGGCTCCCTTAGATGGCAGAAATTCATTGCTCAAAAGAATGGCACTAACCCAATATTGAAACTATAAACACTAGAACATACAAACAACAACTCTAAAACTTGTAAATATTTCATCCAAAAAAGAAGTGCAACAATTCATATCCTGACCAACCATAGCTTCAATAGAAGAACCAGAAATGTAAATTTAAAACAACACAGAGCGAATTTCACTCAACAACCTCCCACTAATTAATTGAACTTGAAGGGTGAGTGGCATACAAAAATAAAATTCAGGCATCTTAGTACAAACCATAGAAGAACAGGAGAAAAAGAACTTAAAATTGAAATGGGTGCGGATCAAATGCAATCGAAATTTAAATTTACAACTTACCCAGAGAGTGGAGAAAGAAAGTAATAGAGTGGGCGATGAAGCTTTAACCGGAAATCTAGAGGGTATATCGAAAGAGAGGAACGGAAGGAGAGGGGATGCGACTGCGGCGGAGATGGCGTTCCGGCGTGGGTTGTGGTTGTAGTAGAGAAGAGGGTACGAAGATTGGTGAAGAAGGAAAAACGGGATAAAAGGGCGCTGAACTGCAGATGGAGTGGGAGGGAGAATAAATAGTATTTAGGGTTTTTTTTTTCTTTTTTTTTTTTTTTAAAAAAAAGAACTATTTATAACATAAAATAAATGCATTTTTTTTTAATATTGTTGACGTGGCATTTGAAATTTGAAATTTTGAAAAAAAAATCAAAATAATTTATTTCTCTTAAATTATCTCTAATATCACTCTTTTAGCATTAAATGGAATTATTATTATTATTTTGGGTAGAAGTTTTCTTAAATTTAGGCATGAACAGATATGATTGTCTATGATTCAACACTTCTCAAACATGTACCACACGATGAAGCCTCCCTTAATTTAATACTAAAACAAGAGGGAAAAGAATTATTAAGAGAGGGAAGAGGAGGATCGAAGATTTGATCTCCTTTTTGTTTGTTCTTGCGGATGAACATGGGAAGTTTGAATTAAATGCATTGAAGGTGAAACTAAGGGGTGAAGATTTCCGGCTCTGTCCTACCATTTTCCTTGATTCATCAAATCTCATGGGCGAGACGGGAAGGCATTGATACCACCGCCCATTCTCTCTCATATCTCTCTTGTAAACATCAACGACCCATTCGAAGAAACAAATCAACCGTTTCAGAAAAGCCATAAAATCTGTGCGTTTATACAGAGAGGGGCGCTTGATGAATTTAATTATTATCCCTTTCGAAACGGTGCGAGCGTGACCCATTTCCATTTTCCTTTCTCTCACGAATCTGCCTCTGTTTTTTCTTTACTCAACCGCGCGAAACTCGGTGACCCGCCTCCCGTTTCTGCTTCTCCTTCTTCCTATTCCAATTGTTTGGTAATTTTCTTATTGGTTTTGTTGTTGTTGCTGCAATTTGTGTTGTCTATACTGCGATCTGATTGTTTGTATCTCTTTGTAGTTTTTTGTTCTTCATTTCTTTCTGGAATTGGGGTTGAGAATTCCGCGAAAATGGTATTGATTGCTGGGATCTTTATGGGGGTTATCTTTGGGATTGCATTGATGGCCGGGTGGCAGCACATGACGAGGCACAGAAGCACCAAAAGAGTTGCGAAGGTAAATTGTTCATTCTGTGTATTTTAGGATGTTTTTGGAGTCTCTTCAGCTTATCTTGCTCAAACTCGTGTTAATTTTCGTTCATTTCTTTCTCTGATTTGGTGATTGGGTAGGCTTATTATATATATATATATATACATATCTTGTTCATACATTGAATTCTGGCTAACTGCATTGCTTATTTGACAAATTTCTTATGATATATACTGCCATTTGGTCATAATGCTTATTATAAAAGGACTGGGGACTGTCACCTTTCATAGGCTTGACTTGATT